TTCTCTCTCTCTTTCTCTCTCTCTTTCTCTCTCTCTCTCTCTCTGGCTCTGTCTGTCTCTATCTCTCTCGCTCTCTGTCTCTTTTCCAGCCGTTGGTGTTATGCCACTGTGTCCGTCTGTCTGTCGGTGTTTATGACGTAGACATCTCTGCGAGCGTGTGATCGGCTGCCGTGCCGGAAGTACTCGTTCACCGCGGCGAGTTTCTCGGTTTCCTTAATGCGACGCAAGCGCCACCTGTACCACAAGATGGCGCTAGTTGCGGCTAGCAGAATGAAGAGACCGACTGAAGCAACGATGAGATAATCGGTGGTTGTAAACGTGATGGCTGAAACAATCAATATAAATCAAATCAATCAACAAATAAATATACATGCATAAATATATATATATATCTATATAATATATATATATATATACACACACAGATAGATGATATATAATATATACATATATACACACACACAACGTATCTATATAATATATACATATATACGCAGTAACAGTGCATCACTAAATCACTCGTGTGAACACACGTGTATTTCACGGCTACACTCATGGAACAACATGGCTACAACATCATGGAATCTAAACCTTTCCTATACACTGTACCATCGTCTCTTACACATGCTCTACTACGTGCGTATGTACGTACGTATAATAGGCGCATTATGTTTATTTACCCATGTTCTTACTGCACATGTACGCCTTTTTTGCATATTATGTTTATTTACACGTTACACTTGGTATTTCTGTTACTACCGCGGACGTATTTACGCTCGTATTTTTCTAATACGCGAGTACGAATTCTTTTGCAAACACGCTCAATTAACGCACATGCAGACACGCCCGCACGCACACACGCACGCACACACCCACACACGCACGCGTTTCGTTTCGTTCCTCTCTGTCGGCCCGTCGGTGCAGACGCCAAGGCAGATTTCGCACGCTGGAGACTTCCACAATACCCACCTTCTCGATGAGATCACAGAATGCAATAAGTAAGCGTGATTTCGCACGCTGGAGACTTCCACATTACCCACCTTCTCGATGAGATCACAGAATGCAATAAGTAAGCGTGATTTCGCACGCTAGAGACTTCCACAATACCCACCTTCTCGATGAGATCACAGATGCTATCGTTATTGAAGTAATC